ATTAGAACTCAAAGACTCGAAATTCAAAGTATCACACTGGAAAATAACTATGATATTTATACGTCATGGCTTTTCGGTTTTTGTTGGGTCTTGTTCTCGGAGGGGATTTTTTTTGGGGTTTCTATAGAGTTATATGGGTAGAGGTTGTCGTGTGTTGCTTTATAGTCATGAGGTATTGGATTATTGTGGGAATGTTTGGAATTCGAAGTAGAAAACTGACCTTCGTTGTATTGTTTTTGTGTTGGCGATGTTTCCGTATACATTGTTCATTGTAATATAGTAGATTGTTATTGATGTAGTGTACCTGTTTTATCTAAAATATGATAAAGTTTAGTTTAATGTAGTGATTTTTGTCATGAAACCGTTGTTTTTGACTATGTTTATTTTATTTTGTATGAAAGTTTTCACGAGTAACAAGCTTTACACAATGTACAATGATTTTGTCGAGAAATATATGTTTCATATGGCATGTTCTGTCTTGATGTCCATTTTGGTGAGAATACTTTTTCTTGGCTTTTTACGTATGAGGTAATTTTGTAATGATCGATTTGTGAGAGGCATGAGTCGAAGTTGTATTCGATTTGCTTCTGATCCTGGCGATTGATAATGTTTTTTCCACCATCCACGAAATATTTTGGTAAATTTCGAAATATATCCGGTTTCATATCGATGTCTAATATACATTAGCCTTTGATTCCATAGTCGCTGTTGTAATACTGGTGGAAATAGAACAGGATCTTTTTTCATAGCTTGTTCTTCTAGTTCACGCTTCGAAGTTTGATATAGTAATTGTCGATGTAATTGTGAATAGGTGGTTTCGTCGAAGTATTTATATAGAATATCAGCTCTATGTACTTGAAAGAATCGTTGAAAGTGATTTGAGATGAAATGTGGTCGATAACTATTTAATAATAGGGATACGTGAATTCTTAAACGTTCCCGATGAAAATCATGAAGATTTGAACAAAGACGTGCTGCACGTACTAAGGCGGTATATGGTATATTCCGATGAATAGTATGTGGATGGTCTGATTGATATGGTAAGTAATAAGGATCAGCTGTAGGCTTGTGATAGATCGATGTTGTTAGTTTTCCATTTGTATTGGTAATAGTAATATCGAGAAAATTAACAGAATTACTCATAGTTGGATTTATTTTAATATTAACATCTTGTTTTTGTGCTTGTTGAAGTACGGCTGTGATTATATCATATGATTCATTGGTAGTCATAAAAATATCGTCAATATACCTAAGCAGAGAAATTGTGAAAGTTATCATTAGGAATTTCAGACTGACCTTCCATAAATTTCATTCTTTGATGCTTGATATTCAATTAAGTTTTGTTCCCATTGTAACATATATATATTGGCATATACTTGAGTAAAAGCAGAGCCCATAGCTCCACCACGAGTTTGTTTATAATATTTATTGATATATGCAAAATAGTTAGTGTCCAAAATGAGACGAGCCATTTTCATTATCATATCTACACTAAATGGTCCTATCTTGCCATGTTTGGAATATTTTTCTAAAAATCGTAATAATGCATGAAGGCCACCTTCTCTTGGTATCATCGTGTATAGATTTTCAACATCTGCTGTAATAAAGTTTGTAGTTGATTTAAGATATCCATCGGCTGTATATTTTTCTAATTTACGAACCCAATCAATACTATTTATCACTGTTGTTTCATGAGCCACTTGTAGATAGATCGGTGATAAAAGTTTATACAAAAATTTTGAAATTAAATTTACTGGTGCATATAGTGCAGAAACGATGGGTCTGATGGGAATTCCAAGCTAAAAGATCGAATAAGAACAAATTCATGTTAAAATAGTAAGCAAGAAAGAATTCTCTAAATATAATTTTACCTTATGTATTTTTGGTAATGGATACAGATAAGGTAGTTCAAGTTTTTCTAAATTCGGTAAAAGTTTATCACGTTGAGCTGTTGTAATAACTTTTTTCTTAATGAGATAATCGAGAACACTTGTTGTTGCATGTAATATATCAGTCAAAGGACAATAATCACTAGTAAGTTCTTGATAAGCTTCAGTTTTATTCATGTATTCGAGAGTTTTGTGTTGCATAATAGATTTATCATCAATATAGAAACCTTCACCTTTATCAATTCGGCATCTCAACATATCTGAACGATGATGTAATAATTTTTGGAGACGTTTAACTTGTTTATATTCACGTCGAGCACGTCGATATAATTTATGTGGTAATCGTTTACAATATAAATCATGCATGATTCATTCTAAATCTGCAAATGATTGCGTTGCACGTTGATCAGTAATTGACATTTCATTATGTTTAAGACATTGTTGCACTGAACTTAATACTGTTTCATATTCTTTATTTGCAATTTCCTTTATAGGTTGATGACAAAATCGACTTTGACATGGTGGAATATATTTACGAGCATTACTTAATATTTGAATAAGATTGGAATGAAGAGCTATATTCTTTTCAATAAATGGCAATGAACTACTTATTGTTGTATAAATGAATGGTTCGCTCCGACGGTGATTTTGTTGAATTAATTGTTGTCCACCGTCGGAGCCTGGTCGAAAAAAGTCTTCAATTTATGTTGACGTATTCGAAT